TTCTATTTCCTTTATCCAATCACAAAACTGGAGTCCCACATACTCAATTCAGAGCTGCTTTCTCTTTACCATCCATTATTTCCTCGAAGAAGAGCTTTTCTAGTGAGGTGACTTTAAAGGTGGTGACACTTAATTTGGCATCTGCCTGAAATCTCTCTTCTGAATGTGGCAAGCCTATTTGGCATTTTCTTCTTGAGCAGAACATGTCCTCAGCTGACTTCTTGTTTACAACTCCCCTCTGACCCAATCTGAGTCCTCTCCTCGTTTCCCCTTCTCGGAAGATGGCATCATCATCCACTGTCTGCATGGTCATCAACTCATCAGCAAGATCTGTCATTTTTGTCAGATATACATATGTATGAGAATGTGTGTTTATATGCTTACACATACATAAAAGCAGCTCTATGTGTAAGTGTGTGTGTATGTACACATACAAACATACATATGTTCTTGTATCCATTTGCAATGCCATATGCTAGCTTCAGACACGACTCTTCTTCAACTGGATCATCACATTCTTTTATTAAATGGGTTACTCCTGTTTCTCCAGGCCTTTCCATCCTTGAGGTGACAGTGGAGTAATAATTAGGAGAGGAAAAAGGCATTTCTGGGGCTCTGCTCCCATCTGTGATTGAGGAAACTCAAGTGGCTCTCACATCTGTCCAGCCAATTTGAGAAGCCCCTAAGATTCCTTGCCTGTGCTCAGGAGCCAACCCTCTCTGCCAGCTTGCCCTCCCTTGCTTCTCTGCTGTGGTGACTTCCTGCCACCCGAAGAGTTGTTCTGTCATTCTCTCCTATTTTCCCCTCATTCCAGGAGGCAGGTCCAACTTTACTGCTGTATCTCTCTCTGCTTTAGTGAGCTCCACATTCTCCTGAAGTGAGAAAACATGCTTGGCTTCTCCAGACTCTCCTACCAACTAGCAGAGTACTGTTTTGTATGCTTTCCTTCCACCAGACTGAAAATTTTGTAAAATAGTCTTTTATTTTTTTATTATATACATTGTTTTTTTCATTTACTTAGGGAAAACAACTGTCTCTAACT